AAGCTGAAAAAAAATTATTAGTGCAACAGCTTAAATCCCATGTGTCATACACTCTAAGGGGCGTTTACTGTTTATATAACTCATTTAAAAATCTTACATGACTGTACAGATAGTAGCTGTAGAGGAGCGTGAAAATATTCACATGATACTAATTCATGATAAAACTTAGAACAATAGCTTTATAATCTATTTAGTTCCTACCTTGTTTACTCTCATTTCATGTTCTTTTCCTTCTTCCCTAAAAAGGTCAACAGTTAACATCCCTGGGTATCGAAGTTTTACTTACTTGATGAGCAAACGCTGGTTTAGTTGCTGTTGCTGCCTGTTTTAGCAAGCAAGTGATGCACATTTTTTGCAGCAGGTCCCATGTAGTTAGCAGGCTTCGCGGTTTATTAAAACACACAACAGGGGAAAATGGACGCAGGCCTCTTCATTGGATAGTGATTGCTTCTCCAATTTGCGTTGATGACTTAAGTGCGCATGGCAAATGGCATTGAAAACCGTGCCGACCTGCAGCACTAAAGCAGTGGCATCAATCTCATCCCCCTCTTCATTTAAATGTGCAACATGGCCCAGCAGGTAGAGAGTGACCGACCAAGCTGTGATGAGATTGAATGAGCAACTAGCATTTCTCTTAATCTGCAGGCCAAATACAAGAGTTTAGCAAGCCGTATCTGGCTTGTTGGCTTTATGTTTGACCCATGCACTAAAGCTAAAAGGCTGACTTAGCATGTGTCCTAAGCTGGGGGAAAACCCTAATACCATTTAAAACCTTAATGAAGGTTTGTTGCCAGTGTGCAAACTCCGTATACCCAAATAATTAATTATTTCAGCACAGCAGGTTAGCACGACAAAGCATTCTTATTCTTTAATTACCTGTGTGGATGTGGGTGATTTCCATGTTATTTTTTCTGATGGGGTTAATATAAAAATCAAGGTTTGTGTAAACGAGTCTTAAAAAGTGTTAGACTAAAATGTGATAGTTTGCCATGTGCATAGTTTGCTTGAAAAATACCTTATAGTAGGTCAAAACCAGGCCCGGACTGGCCATCGCACATACCGGGCAGATGCCCGGTGGGCCTCGATGGCAGTGGGGCCGGGGCCGGCAGGGGAGATCACAGGATCTCCCCTGCCAGCCCCTGCAGGGCCAGCGCTATCCGAGCGCCGGCCCTGCTGTGTGCCTCCATGGGCCGGTGGGGAGCATGGCCCCCCTCATGGCAGAACGGCTCCCCCCTGACCCCCCAGGCAGAACGGCTCCCCCCCCCTCCCAGGATAAAGGTAGGGGGGATATAACTTTTTTAAAATTATTAATAAAAAATATATTTAAATAAATTCACACTCACACACAGCACCCCCACACACACTGCTCCCTCAGACAGACAGCACCCACACACGCACACATATATATATAATAAATAAAATAACCCTCAGTGAGTTAACAGACAAAAAATTTTTAGAAACCTAGAATATGACTGCAGATAAAAACACCCTCACACACAGCACCCATCTTACACACACACACTGCACCCCTCACACATACAATACGTCCAAATATGTATATACACACTACAGCACCCCTCACACGGCACCACTACACACATTACGCTCCAGGTACACGCTAGATCCCTTACCCTATATGCACTCTTAATCCTCTATACACACACACACACACACACAATCTCCCATACACACTCTGAGTCCTTTACACACTAGATCTCCTACACACACACACTGCCCCTAGCCACACAAATGAAATTGACCTATTTACACAATACCACACCACACTCTACACACACGCAATCCCACAAGCAGGCTCCAAACACATGCACTATACACTTTCCTGGCCCTTTTGTCCTCTGGTATCCCACTTGTTGAGACACCAGAGACAATTTAAAAGCAAACACAGCGCAAGCATGTTATTAAATTTGCTTGCGCTGCGCAGAACAAATACAGGGCCTTTTTCTAATGCTAGAGCTCTTCAGCAGGGCTCTGCGCATTGAACCAACATGCTTACTTTGAGAGGGGGCGTGCTTGTCATTAGTGATGACAAATCACACCCTCTCTAGCCCCGCCCCCTACTTAGGGGGCCGCTCTGATTGAAAAATGCCCGGGTCGAATTTTTTTCCCAGTCCGGCCCTGGTCGAAACGTTGCTGCTCTTTTTATTTATTTTTTTCAAATAATTTTTATTAAAGTTTTTTTTTGTATAACAAATGATAATAATACAAACATTGTATTAGGGGTAGGAAAGGAGGGGTAACATGGAATGGGAAGGGGTATCCATCCATCAATGAAATAAACATATTAAAGTATACGGCAAAAAGAAAAATGTTTTACAACAATGCACTTTAACAATAAATATATCAAAGACCATAAATTGTTTTGATTTTTTCTTCCCATTTATCCCAGTTGTATTTTAGTATTGGGAAACCATGCATATTGGCTCTGTGTGATAATTCATGTGCCTTATTTTCTAAAATCAAATTAAAAACTTCTCTGAGAGATGGCACATTTTGAGACTTCCAATGTCTAGGTAAACAGGATGTAGCAGCGATCAGAATGTGGGAAACGTTGCTGCTCTTTTTTGTTCTATTAAATCTGCCTGCGGCTTTGACACATTTTGTTGCCTTAACGTGGTGCGATTCCTGCTCCAGAGCACAAGTGGCTGCTGTGATTGAGTGCATTTCGTATAATCACTTTTGCAATATAGTTTGCCGTGTGGCTTAATTGCCAACTTTATGGGTGATTTCTATTCAAAAGGTGTGAAACCTCAGGTCACTTGTGAGAAATCAGAATAAAACCTATACCATCAGCCTTTTAGATGGCTGCTACCTCATTGGCAGTACATTACATGGTGGCAAGTCTCCTGCTCGAGAGATACATACATGAGCTACAGTTTATGTCCTTCTATACAAAGTGACCAAGAGTTTGATGCCAGGCTTCTAAATGGCAGGTAATCACCAACAGTGCTAACAGGAGCACACAGTATAGGCGAAGACTGCTCCCCAACCGGCCAGCCTCATAAACCACAGAAAATAAGGGTGTAATCACAGCCCTGATGTACAATAGGCAGCCAGCAAGAGAAACATTTGGACATAACTCTCAATTCAATGATGGGTTGTCCCAGGGCACATTAAAAAGTGTTTAGGGGACAGAAATGGCCGCTGGGCCTGTACTTTTGGACCACTGTTTTAAATGTATGCAGATAAGCGGAACATGTAAGAGATGTTAACTAAGAATTGTACAAAAGCTTACTCAAATCGTCCTGTTTAGCTTACCTTTGTCATTACAATAGGAAGCTCTACCATTACAATATTTAACTGGTCTCAAGACCAAAGTGTTAGGCTCATCTCCCCCTTCACTATAGTCTTTAAAAGGCAATACAGTACTTTGGGGGAAATTATTATACAGCTTCATATCCAATCCAAAGCTTCAGGAGTTAGAAGGAGGAGAGACTGTGGTCAACCTTTTTTCCAGACATTTTGCATCTCACGGCAGTTTCAAGAGAAAAAGTAAATTCTATATTATTATACTGATACACAAGAAATGTGAATCCCTGCCCGTGATCTCTCTTCTGGTCTTTAGCACACTTCTACACAAAATGTATTTTGAGCTAGCACAGGATTTTACAATATGCAGGAGATTAGGGGGGTTTAACTGAGACAAAGGGTAAAATTTGAAGTTAATAACTGTTTCAAGTTTATCACTGTTCATGGTATGTAAAGAATCACACCAATAAAATAGATATTATTAGATAGATCAATAGTATTATTAAAGGATATATAGTGTTGTTAAAGAAGAATATCACCGATTAATCTAATGTAGAAATACATCCAGTTTTATACAATCACGTCTGGGAAGCCCCTTTTTTTTCCAGACTTGGCCTTAGATTAATCGGGAAAGTCACTGTGCCCTGTGTCCACCCACAGCTGAAGCTACTTTCAAAACGTCCCAGCTTTTATAAACATACAAAAGGAGCTTACATAACTAGCTTATGCTAGTAAAATGCACGTTTCATATATGTGAGAATGCAGCTACTTAAATATTCAAGACATCAGCCCACCTTGGAGCGCTGGCCAGGCACCCGGAGAAAGTCCAAAATCATGTGATATTCACCTAAGATTAATATTATTTTCACATAGCTGTATCTAGCCCTTAAAGCTCTCCAAGTTATTAGTGTGACTGTTTTCATGATTTATATTTTGTCAATCTTTCTTATATTGAAGCATGTGAATAATACATTACATAGAAAAGACATGGGAGTTATGGCAGATAATACACAGACATTGTCAAAAATGCATTGTTATAAGCTCCTAGGTGAGGCGGCCTGATTTTTTTGAATTTATTTTTAAAATATCACAGGAAAGTTCACGTTATGTAAATATAAACAGGCAAACTTTCAGTCGCATTGCAATACACTGTGCGATGTGAATAATCTAAAGAGGTATATTAACAGGATGTTCAAATGCACTAATGATAGGCACTTGGCCTCTTCCCATGTTTACCTAAGTTATGTAGTCAAACTAGATAAACATGTCTAGACATAGACTGAATTGTGCATGCTAGGCTAATGTGACAACAAAGCCACTGGTTAATTGCCTTAAAAGAGGGAATAAGTAGTGAGGTAAGAAAGCAAATGTGATGAGAAGCCCAGAACAGTCCGCACATACAAGGGATAGACCGAAGCATTGGGTCTTTGTATGGCGTGAGATAATCCCAAGCATGTATACTACCTATATGGTTAAAGATTAAACTAAGGCAAAGCATGGCTAAGCACCACACAATGAAAATTAAGTAGCATGTCTATCAGACGCATACATGCCACTGAGGTAAGGGATCTTTCTTTCCCAGGAGCTGTCTCGGAGCCAGCACCTCTTGTCTACGGACTTGGATGCTCGAGTCAAAATATTTCCATTGTTGGGGACCACGTGAGGCTTTAGGGAGCCTTTCTGTATGTTGTTGTGTGGGGGTTCTCCACATGTGTGCATAGGCTGTTGTAAGAGTAGTTTGTAGTCGATGCACCTCAGGGGAATCTCCTTATCCTCAAACTCCTCTCTATGGGCAGGGAGTCTAGCTCTGTCAAGCGGCCCACTGGCTTTGCCCCCAATCTCTTATGGACTGATAATCAGGTGCCTCATGTTGCCTGTAGTCTCAGTTTTAGTTTCACCAAAAAGGCTTCAAATATTGCCTCCAGTTTCGCCAAAAAGGTAGGAGGTAAGCTTGTCGAGCACGGTAATTTTGGCCCCATGCAGCCTGACCTTGTGCGTGGCCATCTTGTCGCTTGCTCAGCTCATCCGCTTATCTGGGATAAAGTGGAGTGAGTTGCTCTACAGTGCAGGATTTCAGATTGATGGACTGGATAACCCCCACTGGTCCAAAAACGGGGGAAGCGTGACCCAGGCCATTGTCAATTCACCTGCAAGGCTGGAGATTGGCCGCGTCCCACCCACCCTGGTATAGTCAACAGGCCACAATAAGCTTCAGAGTCTGGTATGTGCTCAATGGACACAAGAAAAACAGTCCAGAAGGTGCCTGGATTTCCACTTTATTAAGGAAAAAATCTGAGGCACTCACTGTGATAAGTTAAGCACCTTTAATGGACACCTCAACATTTCAAACTGTACCAGGTCTTTATCATGCTAACATCACATACGAAAGTGGATTTCCACTTTGGCAGGGATCATTTGCAGTTTTGTAGTTTCAGGATTATGCGATTTATAAGCAGAATGCACAAGCTAATTCAAAGAGCTTCATCAGCCTGCATCCTGCTTGCTAGACATGACAGAATCACTTATTTTAAATCTCCACCTGTAGCATTTAAAAGAAAAATAATACAGGGGCGTGCCTTCGATCTCGAGGTGAATGCCTGCATGACCTGACTGCTCCATTTCCATACAACCACAATATTTTGCCTTTTAACAACTGGGTACCATAGCACAAAATAAAAATAAAAAGGCACACAAGTTGGAGAATGCAAATTTCTTCTGATCTAGAACTACGCAGGGTAAGGCCCAGCTGCATTCGGAGCATACCTAAAATGGCAGCAAAGAGGATCATGAGTCGGCTTGTGAATCATTGGCCCTACCAGTGACACATGGGGTACTACAGACCATGCCAAATGCTATGTCCGGCAGATTTTTGTAGATTTTGCATTAATTTGTCGGAGACCTTTGCAAGGACATTCAGGAGTTAGATACCTGGACCTCACATGTGGAAGCCAAATTGGATGATTTTGTGGATGTGCACAATTGCCTCGTGGATAAAATTCAGTACTTAGAAAATATGTTGGAGGAATATGAGCTCAAACTCACTGATTTAGAAAACCAGTCACTCAAACATAACCTTTGGATAAGGGGCATACCTGAGGTGGTGAACCAGCAGGACTTGCATACCTCTTTAAAGTATTAGCTCTGGATCTACCACAAGACGTGCTCCTATTAAGACACACAGCGCAGCAGACCTACATTTCTTCACAGAGGGGTACCCTAGCAAAGCTACACTATGATCCTCGGAGTAAGCAGGGTGCAGAAGGATGTTCCATCACAATACAAAAAAATATTGATTTTTGCAGACATCTCAGCATCAGCTCTGCATAGGAGAAAAGCCTTCTGGGTAATCACATAAGTGTTGCACCAACACTATATACAGTACTGCTGGGAATGCCCCATTAATTTGATTGTGCAGTGGAATGGATAAAACATACAGATTGCCTCTCCTGGTGATGGTACTCACATAACCCGAGGTTGGGGCATGGGCCCAGCTTCTCACCTGTGGAAATCCTCAAAGTCTCCTCATCTCTCTCCGGAGTGGAAGCGTGCCCACAATTGTGAAGGCATTCCCAGGCTCTACAATCAGGAAGCTGCGGTCTCTACAATACGCAAGTTCTAGGTGTCCAAGTATACACTATTTGTGTGTTTCTATAAAGGGAACATATCCTTGACACATATGTTAGTTTGCAAGATTTCCATTGTTTAATTTCGTTTCTTTCTTATTTTGATTGACTGCTATGACAAACGTAGATATGAGAAAACTGAGTGTCACCCAGATTGCTCTTACCTGATCATACGAAAATCCCTAAGAGGGCCAGTGAGAGATGGAGAAATTTTACTTACTGTACTACCCGTAGAGGGATAAATCCATAACAGGCTCCTGGGGCACAGGCGGGAATGAGTCCCCCTCCCAAGCCCCTACCCCTTCCTTTCCACTATTCTGTTACATGCAAACTTTTTTTTTTTTTAGCTCTTTTTGGTTTGTGTATTTTTAATTTTGTTCTAATTGACCAGTTCTATTGTGAATTGTATCAATCAGTCTAGATAAAGTTCAATGCCTGCAAAATTGACTTTGGCACTCACTACTGTGGCTGTGGGGAGTGCTGTTGAATGGCCAGTATTTAATTTCACCCTGGGTCATTGCAATGTTCGAGATATCAGTAATCATGAGAATCCTTTCTGGCGGATCCCACTTGTTGATATATTGATTTTTTTTCTGTGGTGTATAGAGGTTGGTAACACCTTTGTTATTATTCTATTGGGTAAAGTTATGTAAGGCTTATCAAAACTCAATAAAATTGTCAAATTGAAAAAAAAAACAAAAAACATACTAGCAGCCATGCCAGTTCCTTAATGAAAATATTTCAAAGTCAGTGATAAAGTAATTATCAATAAAGGCATCTATGTACAAAACAGTTAATTATAGTAAATTGGCAGGGTAACTGCATAATTTAGGTAACAAAGAGGAGTTTCAACTCTGTCAGCTTTTAAATTGCCATTCAACTCCAGACAGTAGGACCCTCAACATACTGAGCTGCAACGAGGCCTACTTACTCTAACCAGGAACAGGAACAATTCTTATTTTATGCAGTTATTAAATTTAATTCTCTAAATAAAAAAATATCCACGGAGCAATGATATGATGTGAATGTATACCCCCTCCTCCAAACAGCCATGAACCAGAAGTTGAAGCTGGGCAGAGGGATAGGGGCAATATTCAATATTACAAGCTTGGCCATGCCACATTCTACTAAAAGGGCATACATTCTGTGCTGGCTGACCAATTGAAGAGTTCTCTGAACTCCCCAGCCAGGTCACAACTGATTAAACATGGGCTGACCCGCAGTCCCTCAGTCTATGACTTGTTTGCATGAGTGTTCAGTCTGCCACTGAAAATGACGTTATACATTGTGACCAGTGTGCACCTGCAGTGCAGATGTGATCTGGAAGCACATTCTTGACCAAGGCAAAACATCTGGGAAGATGTAGTCCACAACATCTGGAGTGCCGAAGGTTGCCTGCCCTTGTTCTAGGCTGTAAAATATTGTGTACATTTTGTGCTGTCCAGATTGCTTAAATACTGAACCTCTCTGTTGTTGGCTTAGAAAGTGCACAATAGTGGCCACTGTGAGCTGAATGCTAATTAATTTATTACCAAAAGTGACTAGGCACACAGGAACGGAAACAATATAAACTGAAACATTCATCAGCAATATACGATTATGTTTTATATATTACACAAGGTTGACATTGCCACCAATTAGCGGATGACTGGTCCACTTTAAAGTGAAAGCATCTAAAAATGTAAAATGTCTCATAAGATACCCATGCTATACTGAGTTTTATTTCTAAACAATGTATAAGGCATGTGCGATTTAAAACCTAATAAAAAGATTACAAACAAGCACTACAGGACTTTATTACCATTGCCAGTTTGAGAGAAGCACTTGCATCAATAGAAATACTCTTCCGAGTGTTGTTGACAACCACCTATAAAGCCAAGATGTTACAAATGTAATTAGAAATGTGTGTAGAAAATTATCTCCACGGCCAACTATATTTAACGCCCTTAAAGTTTTGTTTTGAGACAACGAGGCCACATTCAATCTTTTCCTCCTTTTTTTCCCCATGACACATAAAACCGTATTCAATTAGCAAAAAAAGACTTAATTATTTACAATATATGCTTTTACGTTAGTTTAATGCCTAGTCTTGGTGCTGATATCCACTTACCATCCATGTGAGCGCAATATATTGTACATACACAGTGTAAAATATACCTGGGGACTTTGCACCTCTGTTTGTCTGGTACAGCGCCCTCCCCTCTCATTGTGTTTAAAAATGTACGATCTGGGAGTGTGATCTAAATGAAAATTCAGCAGAAATGAGCAAAAGAGAGAGTGGAGTCAAACAGTCATAGAGTCTGGATTACTACTATCGAGACTGCAGACTTTGTGAACTGAAGGACCGTCACAGGGAATATAATTTAGAAACTGTTCTGTACACAGATTATTAATATTGTTCTGTATAAAACACCTTCAGCAGGACAATCCCAATGTCATGGTCCTACACCCAGGGACACCAGGAAAAGAGTCCCCAGGCGCAAGCGTTCTGCAACAGCAGATGTGGCTGAGGCTGTAGAAAAAAGTTCTAAAACTCCTAATTAGTTCTAAAAAAATGAATTTGTTAAAATAACATGTTTTCTTTCTTTTATAGCTGACCCCCTCGTTGGAAGTATCGCTACTCAGTACATGACTAACAGAGGGGAGCATGACCGAATGGCCAGACAGTGGACCAAGAGATACGCAACATAGGAATTTAACATGGAGGACCTGTGCAAGCACATTCACTAAGTGCATCAATAGCTCTTTTCTTGACTTTTTTATTATGTTGAAACATTTTGTGACAAAATACTGTATGTTCTTTTTTTATTAAAACCTTATTAACTTGAATTTCCCCACAAAATTAATAGGGAGTTTTAGTTTCTGTGCAAGAAATATTGAATATGTGATAGTATAGAGCTTTGTTTGAAAGCCTTGTATCAATATTTGTGTTTTTTTTGTTTTGTTTTTATAATTTTTTTGAGGTTACAATTAGTACTTTTTAATTTGCCTCTTCTATATGTAGGTTTAGTGTTAAATATGTATTTTTGGTTAAGATTTGATTTTTTTTGTACTTAAAAGTCTTTCATGGCGGGTGCATGCTCCAGGGAACAAACTTTTATAATATAACATTTGAAATCAAGATTCACTGTGGAGAACAAGACTGTGTTTTCCCCACAGAGGACTTTCTGAATGAACAAAAAAAGTTGTATTTTGATCTATTTAAAATTGCTTGTAAATTAATTTAGCAGGATGTGGAGCAGTTGATGTACACGTGTTATAAAGCACTCAATAAAAACACTGCGACTGGTTCTTTTTTTTTTTTCTACAAAGAAGCAAAGGGCACAGAATGTAACTGATGAGCAATGCCACAACTTAGAACTTTTGCTTTTAAAGGAATACTCCAATAAAGGCATATTGTAGTTGTTATGGTGCGATTAGGCAGTGGGTGAAGTTCCCTTGTTTTGTGGTGTTATTGTTTTGGTTTTGTTTTTTCCCAGAAACAAAAGCCTAGGGGATTATCAAACACCGAAATTTAAACCCCTCCGCTTTGAAGAGGCTTCACCCCTAGCTTCTAGTACTATATGTACTATTATAAGCTGTAGTGCTTTAATTGACCTCCCTTTATTTTTGTTTTATTTTAATGTGTATCTGATTGAGAAGATCTATTTTTATCTATAATGTCTCAGAATCTCTCACACTCACATAGAGAAGAGGTTTATATACTCGGGAGTCCATTCAGATATCACTATAAAATACAACAAAATCTTGAATACAAGTAAATGTTAATAGTTATGTCTTCTGGGATTTCTCTGAATCTTTAGAAACATCTTGTAAAATGGGCACCTTGCCAAATTTGAGCTGTTACAAGATGAACCAAAATACATACTATCATATAAAATGGATGAAAGTAAAACAAAATGGTTCCTAATAATCTGTATCAGTTGAGCCTTGTTTAGGGAAAGGGTGAGCTTTGTACCCCTAAAAAAAAATCTGTACAGCTAATACTAGCTCTTGATGAAACAGTTCAATGCAGGTGGCTTGCTCTATTGTACTTGTAAAAGCTTTACATCATTAAGTAAAATTCTAAGGACCGTTCATTGTGATTTAAGACCAAATCAAGCGTATAACTAAACGGACTCCTTTATTCAATGTACAAGCCCCCTGCTGTATTTTCAACCCATGTCAGTCATTCTGAATAATCTCAATGCTAATTGAAAAATCTATCTTGGTTTACTTGTAAAATATTCACATTTACTGCTGAAATTGTTGGGATTTTAAATTATAATTGGCTTAAGAACAAAATCAGTAGGCATTCTTGAATATATAAATGAAGCCATAACTGAAGAACTCGGATTTGTCATATTGCTCAGCTTTAATCAATATTCTGTTACAGAAGCGACTTTGTTTCAAGATTTCTACGAATATAAATTTAGGCAATTAGATCTACGAGGCATTTAATTATACACACACTGCATACATTGCGGCACACAAACCCTGTGTATTAACAGTTATATTTAAAAATCCATTCTAGCATTACAACATAATTATAGGCTGTTCTCATAGGTGTATTGTCAGATGAATGTAGTTTTATGCAAGGTCTTAAGCAGCTTTATGTAGGCACCACTTATGGCAAAGTCCAAAGTTGGGAAGGAATCAGCTACCAAGAACAGAAGTCGTGGAGGTACATCTTGTCTGGTAGGCTAGGTTTTTGGAATATGTGTTGTGTGCATTGTTGCTATTGATAAATACAATACAAATAGGATAATTTTTATTACCAAAAAAAGATGGTGAAATTAAAGGATTTTCCACTAGACATTGCTCTATAAACTGGTCAAATGGTCACCATAAAACCTACTACAAAAAAATGAAAAACCCAGGAGTACTAAAATACTGACCAGGAGATATTAGCCTGAGACAATAAAGAAGCATTCACAAATCTCGTTAGATGGAGTATTGATGCAGGGTCAAGATGGAGGGTGTCATGTGGAATGCATACAATTGGTGGAACGCACGCCGAACCCAGATCATTTCCCCGGATCATATCATCTGCATGGCGTAGGGAAAATTGAGGAAGCAGGTAGTAGATACTGCTGAGTGTTTTTAATCCTAACAAAATAGACATGTATCATACAGTGAGCATTATGGATCTCTTTTTTTTTCTCTTAGATATAATTTGGACGGTTGGAAGTGTTTACCTTAAATGTTTTTCTATTACGTATATTCTATGAATCATTTTTATATTATATTTACTTTTTCCGTAAAAAAAAAACCACTGTGTATAGCAGTTGGCAGCAATAATAGTTCAATATCTTTGATCTAAGATGTGGAAAGTCCCAAAAAATATGCAACTAGAGGTAAGATGTGATAGGTCAGACCTATTTGGAAACTGGAAACCCCTCAGTTATTAAAAGCACGATCTCAACACAATTAACGGGCATCATCAAAACGATCTATAGTAGGTTATTCAAATTAAAATTGGGTAACCATTGACAATAAACAAGAACTTTACAGCTGTACCCGTTTATAAAACGTATTTTTGTAATCTGCAGTGGATCAGATAAGACAGTCTACCAGTGTACTATAAAACATGCTTTGGTAGGTGTTGAACTCATTAATGTGCTGTATATTTTCATGTTCAAATCTTTGCAGTATTTGAAAAAAAATGTTTTGCAGAATTCTGCTCCATAAGCCTGCCTCCTTTGCTACCCATTCTATGTAAAATGCTCAGCCAATGTCTAAACCCGACATGCCATGGAACCTCTTTTATTCCAAAGGATGCTAATGAGACTGTAAAGGCTCCTCATATGTTACAAATTAGGATGCCTTGTTCGTTTCTCTAACAACAAATTTTAAAGAGTATTATATTTAAACCTGGAGTTCCCCTTTTAATAATTGTATACTTTATTCAAATATTATGTTGGGCATTGATCGTTTTGTTGCAGATTTTTTAATGGTCTGCAATCCCTTTTAGAGCTTTGTTAAGTTCCCTATTGCACATCACTGCTACACACACTTAATTGAAAAAAAGCATGTGCCTTCCTATCCCTTGTAAATCTAGCTACCTCATTTTAAGAAAATGTAATTATTATTTTTTTTTTTACAATCTTTATTTAGTCATATATCAAAGAACAAAAAGTTCCAGTAAAATTATACAGTATAGGATATTAGAGAGTAAAGGAACATTCAAGTGATGCAGTACATTTAGATTAGCATTATGGAATTCATTGTGTGTAAATAATCACAAAGGAACACTCACACATTCAAGAGCTAATACACCTAGCTCTGGTTCGGTTTGCTGCAAGTTCAGTTCAGGCGACCCTTTCCCTTCTTGATATCTTCCCAGTCTGTAAACCAGAGCTTGGTGTATTAGCTCTTGAATGTGTGAGTGTTCCTTTGTGATTATTTATACACAATTAATTATATAAATGGTTTTAAACTATCACATTTTTATTCTCTCCCCCCCGAAGAAACCGGGAGATCCGAAAAACCCTCACAGTATCAAGTGGAAATTTTTTCGGAATGCAATAGATCACTTTAAATAAGTGCTCCGATATATTTTTGTGTTTTTGTTTGGGGTGCATTACGGAAGGATGCATTTAAGTGGATTTATTTATATTCACGTTTGTTAAGCACTCACACTTTGAAAATCACTTTATTTGATAACTAGCACTGATATAATATATATATTGCATGATGTGTTGAGGTGCCCTGCTGGAAACAGGGAATTAAAATTCTTGGACTTCCCACTGAGAACGGTTACATTATGACTGTACATGTACCAAAGTGAAAGCAACACAGATTATTTTTAGCTGCAGCAGGAAATATTTTTTATATCCGGTGCTGCTAGAATTGTTAATACAATGCCACACACTATATTAATTACTCCTTACCCCCAAATCATAAACTGTTATGTATGAATTTACATTTTGGATTCTCTCTTTTTTTTTTACTTAAGCCATAAGTAAAAATAAATCCTAGATAGCTGTCCATTTTCTTCCTTGGATGTTGAGAACCCACGGGTTGTAAAATATGGGATGTAGTCCTTCAATATCCCCCTAAGTCCTGTATGGTTTAGGATTTGACCAAGGACTGCATGATATTGTCCGTATTCGCCCACAAGGTTTGCCTATAATCTGCTGGGAAACATGGAGAGTCCGCTGTTTTCTGGGTCATTTAACAATGCCTCTTCATAACGGTATAATTCCTATTGCGGGCAGCCACACTTAATCGTTGGATGGATTATATTTTCTTTGTAGAAGGTACCCCGGGACATTGCAGGTAATTATCATTTTGTAAAAACAAAGAAAACGTTACCTGCGCTCTGGTCTAAATCCCCATGTGCATTTAAACAAAAATGGAGGCTCTTTATTTTTATTCTAATGGCCATTTGAATATATAAGCTCACCTGCCACGTCAAGGCAAGCCTCAATAGGTGAGTTCCTACACTAGCCATTAGATATGCTATTATCATTTTGTATCTGTGTGCCCCCGGCCACCTTGTCCCTCTCTATGTCACTTTCAGGTATGGAGTGACCCTAAAGGCTCTATTTTGGTAGTCTTCCACTTTCCCCAGTCTGTAAATTGAGTGTCTTATTGGGACATATTTCCATTAAGGGCATCAAAGCTTTAAAAGAAATATGTCCCAATAAAACAGTTTCTGCAGCAGCATCTATATTATAAATCAAAAATAGAGATTATGAGAGCTCTGGAAAAAGCTCACTAAACTCAATATCTTGCCCTTCAGTTAATCAACTCTCAGGTCTCAAAACATTTTATTGCTCATTTATGCTATTACAGAGTGAACCTATAATATTTGCTTATCAGACTGGTTCCACCCTGAAGGGCAGCCCAGATCCCAAATATTGGAAAGTTCCCTCTGCATGAGAAATACACCAACCCGGGCAATAGTTTCAGCTTCGTCAGCGAGGTGTAGCTGATTTCCAAGGATATCTTGGAGCTGATATGGTTGGATCAACAGAGCTTTGTCAACTGCCAATGAAGGCCAACAAAGAGTGCTGCTGCTATTAAAGAGGGCTTCAAGATCTTTTGGTGGATTGAAACCTGGAATGTGACAATGTCAGTGATTCACAGTCCTGCTGTAGATAAATGGGTAGTGGACAACCTTATTCACCAGGCCTTTCTCCCCAGGGAGTGGAATCTCCATCCACAGATATACCAGACAGTTCAGTACTAGTGTCTTTCAGAGATCGACGTGATGACCTTTTGTTTAAATGCTCAACTTCCAGTTTATTGTGCCAGAATCATGGATCCAGGTGCACCTCTAGTAGAGGCACTGATGGTGCCTTGGAACTTTCACTTGATCTTATTTTTCCCTCAAGTCCCTTGATCATCTCAGATGGTGATCAGTATTCAATGAGGTCATAATGCCACCATTCTGATACTTTATGACATCACTTTTGCCATTAAAAAATAAATAAAAAAATCACTGACAATTGCCATTATACAACTTGACAAGGCTTGACCCCTTAACTGGGCTGAAAGGTTGCTCTGGTGTGTGTTTTTTTGTTTTTCTTGAATGCTTGATCTGCTTTCTTGTTACTGCTTGGCAATTTGTATAGGCTATGTTAAGTAATGACGTCTTGTTGATTAATTAAAAGGACATCAATTAAAAGGATAGTC